TCTAGGCCCAGAATTACCCAGTGAGCAAGGCAGTTAATAGAATGGGCTCTAGGGCCCAGGCTGCTTGGTTGTAATCCCAGCTGCTACTCTCAATAGTTAACCCCTTCTTGTATCAGTTTCTCCATCTATAAAATGGGTTTAATGATAGTCCTTATCTCTCACAGTTGTTAAGTGAGATGAGTCAATATACTTCCTGATATAGAGGAATTAATGTTGGTTACTATTATTATTGTTGTTGCAGGAAATATAGTAGGCCTTGGGAGACCTCCAGATACAGACGATTATGAGGTTAACCTAGTGGAGATAGAGAAAACCCAGGACTCCTTTTCAATCCCTAATCCTTGGATCTGACCTAGGAAATTAAAAGTGACTCACTCTTTCCTATCTGTGGAATGGGCAGGAGTAATGCTTGCCTCTAGCAAGTTCCTGAAGAGTAGAAGAGCCAAAGAAGAAAGGGATCAGATGTGAAATGATACCTAATGGGTGTTGCCCACCCTGTTTGTACCCTCTTCCTAGATGCCTTTCTCCCTAGGCTCCCAGAGCCTTCGCACAGCTCTTAGGACCCTAGGACAGCCATGAATACCCTTCTTGCTCATGGTTTGTTTCCATTTTCCTTGGCCTCTATCTTAGAGGATCCAGGGCTTTCCGTGCTGGGGTTCAATTGATAGTCATTGTGTCATCCCATTGAGAACATCTGCTTAGAAGTCGCTTTTTCTGGACAGGCAGAGTTGCCCCACAAGGTAGTGCCTCCATGGTTGTAATGGTGAGTCCCTTTCAGTTCTGTCAGAGCAAGAGTCTGTATTGGGCCCGGCACGTGGAGGCACTCTGGGTCAGCTCAGTCCCAGGCCACCCACCTGATATCTGCTGCATTTCTCCATGTAAAATGGGCAGATTCCATTGTTCTAGACATGATCGTTTTTATATGTTTATATTTCAAGATGACATATTTATTTATTTATTTTAAAGATTTTATTTATTTATCTTTGGAAAGAGGAGAAGGGAAGGAGAAAGAGAGGGACAGAAGCATCAATGTGCCAGAGAAACATCAATCAGTTGCCTCTCGCATGCCCCTATGGACCTGGCCCGCAACCCAGCATGTGCTGACAGGGAGTCGAACCTATGACCTTTGGTTCTCAGGCTGGCGCTCAATCCACTGAGTCACACCAGCCAGGACTCAAGATGTCATATTTAAACTTAATTTCTAAAGAGGCTGTCAAAAATATAAGATAAAGCATTAAGACACTTTGGGATATGGTCTTATCTACGAGATATGTTTCATCTTAGCTCTACCCTGCTGTCCTTTCCTTGTTTCTTTCCTTGTTTCTCCAAGTGCTGTTTTAATTTTTTGCACCTCTAGTGGAAAAGAAAATGGCAAGCCCACTGAACAGGTCCACTTCTGTTCCTAAACCTGGGCAGAGCCTCCTAGTGGATAGGTAGATTCAGAGAAGATTCAGCAATAAGGCTCACCACTTAATAAAGCTACGTGTCTGCACCAAAGTTCCTCAAGGTGTGACCTGGCCAATACTTGTTATTACAGCCACCTTGGGGGAATGAGAGGGTTGTTAAAAGCTATAATTCTGGGTCCATCCCCTGTACTAGTGAATCAGTCTCTGGAAGGTGGCCTGTGAATAAGCATTGTAAACAAGCTTACTAGGTGATTCTCATGCTTACTTAAGTTGGAGAAAAACAGCTTTAGAGGTTGGGTTTTTTTAGTCTTGAATAGCCTCCAGTAGCAGACTAAAGTTGGCTAAGCATTCTCACTGAATGGAAGTCAGGAAGCTGCTTGGGAAATTCAGTATCCCATTTAAACATCTGGTCTTCCTGACCAGCACATCCCCAAGGCTGTGATGGAGACAGAGAAGGTAGAGAGTAGTGAAGTAATGACTCATTGCTCCCTATCTCCAGCCCCAAATGATGGAATTAGACAGGTCTGACTAAAACATGTATCATTGTAACCTTAGCTTCATTCATTTGTCTAATATTCATTGAGCACCTACAGTGTGTCAGGCACTATTATTTGTGTTTGGGATACACTCACAAACAAAGCAAAGAGCTCTATGCTTGCAGAGCTTACATGCCAGAGGTGAGAAATAGAAAATAAATGATAAATATAATAGACCTGACTGGTGTGGCTCAGTGGATTGAGTGTTGTCCCACAAAGTAAAAGGTTGCTGGCTTGATTCCCGGTCAGTGCACATGCCTGGGTTGCAGGCTAGGTCCCCAGTGTGAGAGGCAATGGATCCATGTTTTATACATTGATGTTTCTCTCCCTCTCTTTCTAAAAATAAATAAACAAAATATTAAAAATATAAACATAGTAAATGAGTCAGTTATGTAGTATGTTAGTAGGTAATACATGCAATGGAAAAAAGAAAGAGTAGAGCAGGGCGAAGGGGCTGGGTGGAGGCAGCATCAGCATTAAATAGGGTGGGTAAGCCTCCTGAGGAAGGGGCAGCAGGGCCGGGCACTGGCCATGCTGCTCTCCGGCAAAATGCACACCTGCACAGAGGACAGATGGCACGAAGGCCCTGGCCTGGGGAGCAGACCTGGTGTACCTTCAGTCCAGGCCTCAAGGCCTCAAATCGTTTTCCTAGAAAACTTATTACCATGCCCTGGCTGGTGTGGCTCAGTGGATTGAGTGCTAGCCTTCAAACGGAAAGGTCGAAGGTTTGATTCCCAGTCTCAGGGCATGTGCCTGGGTTGCAGGTTAGGTCCCCAGTGGGAGGCAACTGATTGATGTTTCTCTTGCACATTGATGTTTCTCTCCCTCTCTTTCTTCCTTCTTTCCCCTCTCTCTAAAAATAAAATTTAAAAATTTACTACCATGACCCTACTTCCTTTAGTGCTCAGGACCTTAAACCTGACAGCAGGCCTTAAAAGATGTGCTAAGCAAAAGAAATAGAGAAGGTTGGCACTGGAAGGGACCTTAGACTCATTCCCTTCTTTTTAACAGAAATGCAGGGAATTCAAGTGCCATGCAGAAGGTATGGCAGAATTGGGACAAGACTGTAGTTTCCTTCCTGCTCTCTAGTGTTAGATTTTTCTTTGAGTTTTGTTTGAGATTAATCCTCCCGAAGGCACAGCCTTCTGGTTCATGTTGGGGGTGGGGTGTGAAAGTGGTGGGCAATGAAGACGTTTCATCTTCCCCCCTGGGTTCTGGCTGCCTTTGGCTTTCCCTGTGCCTAGTCGTGCGCCCCAGCCAGTCTCTCCCCCTCTTTGCTGCTAATGATGGAGGCTTTGAGAGTGGCTGTCAGGCAGAGTGATGGTTCTAGAAGACAACATACAGTTGATCGTTATTGGATATTGTAGCTTGCCTCTGCTGACACCATTGTAGGGAGCTGGCCAGGCTTGGCAATGTTATTTGATAACAGAATAATCATCATTTATAATGCAGCTCTGGAGTGTCTCTGCTACTGACAATAGCTTGGAGCCTAGGTGTCAGATAGAGGAAAGGGGCTCTCAAAGGGGATGTGAACTGGGTTGGAATCCATGACCCCAAAGAGCTGGACTTTCACCTCTCACTGACCACTGAGAGCGGATAACTTAACAAGATGCTGCCCAAGGACAAAAGCAGCCCTAAAATGCTTTTATTTATGTGTCCCGTGAGATCACCCCAGTTCTCCCTCTCGCTGTCTCTGGTTGGGCAGTTGACTCCACTTTACCCCCCTTTATCAGGTTGTTCCTCAGCTAGAGAAGTGGTCAGTATGTGGACAGTGGGTCATACTCTGAAGTGTCTGTGCCGTCCCAGTGCCAAAGGGCTGTGTGTCAGGAGTGTGGGAGGGAAGGAAGAGATGGGGTTCTGGTGCTTTTATGGACTTGTAGGGCTCCGAGGGCCCTCATCGTTCTTGGAAATTTGGATGTAGAGCTCTTTGGCAAATCATAATTACATGTATTTCAAAGCTCTCTCTTTAAAATAGTGTAGCCAGTTATCTTGTGAAGAGAGTCATCCTTCTTGTGAGGCTGTGGGAGTTTGTGTGCTGGAGGGGCCAGTGTGAAATAGTGCAGGCTCACACCGCAGGACCCAGAAAGCAAAAACAACGTAATAATGTTCTTCAGCCTTTGCAATGAGCCAGACTCTGCCTATCTCTATAGTTCTTTCACCCCCCAAAGGGCCTGTGAGAAAAGGCGGGCTCAGGCTGTGGGCCCAGGAAGGGTTCTGAGGCTGGCTCCCCTGTCTCCTCACTTTAGTGAGTTGCTTGTGCCTCTAAGCCTAACCTCTACAGGATTCTGTTGGAGCAGTTAAGTGACTTCAGAGACTCCAGATGCCAAAGAGAAGATAGAAAGAGGAAAGTGCTGGGAATACAAAGGGAGGTGGCCCAGGAGACATTTGGGGTTTCCTGAACAGAACGGGTCGAGGCAGTGATAGGAATACAAGTTTAGGTTGATAGCAATGATATGAAGTGGGGGCAGGGTCATCCTAGAGAGGGCGAGGCCCTGAATCCGGATATCAGGAACACTGGGGGTGATTTTATGAAACTCCTGGCCCCATCTCCAGGTCCACAGGAATACGGAATACCTTTCAGAGGCAGGTAGACGCCTCGGGGTTCCAAAGGAGGGGAAGGCAAAGGGCAGGGGTAGGAAAGACCAGGCCCAGGCCTCAGTCGGCAGAGAAAAGAGAGTCTTCACGAAGCTCCTCCAGAGCAAATGCAAATCCCACACCGGCTTTGTCCTGGAGTCAGGAGATCTCCATCCTAATGTCAGTGCCGTCATCTAGTGGCTTCGTGATCGTGGATGACTCACTTCACCTACCTGAGTCTTAGTTGCTTCTACTATAAAATTTAAGAAACTGGGGTTAATAGTTGCTGCGGTCTCTTCCCAGCTCTGAAAGTACAGGTCTGTGTTTCTTTTTTTTTTTTTTTAATTTTATTTAGTTATTTTTCAAGTACAGTTTCTTGTCTATTTCTCCCATCCCAGTCTCCCCCGCCCCTTGCTCCCCACCTCCCTCCCATTTCCACCCCCCTTAGTTCTCGTCCGTGTGTCCTTCCTATTTGTTCCTCCAGGTCTGTGTTTCGGAAAGGTGAAGAGGTTTCTCTACTGTGAGCTGGTGTGGTGATTTCCTGAATTACACTGGGAAGACCAGAGCCTTGGTGTTGTTGTCCCTGTGTGTATGGAATGTTAGATCCAGCGGATCTGGAGCCAACTCGTCAGTCTGCCAGCCTCTAGGCTATAACCACCCCAGTCACTAGATAGAGCTTGCCCCACAGTGGAATGCTGCTTCTGTGGGAATAGAATTAAGTAAACTAGACATTTTAAACATGAGGGTTCCATGGCCCAGTGACTTTGAGAATCATTGGGTTAAACATATACAAGGGTTTCTTTTTCTTTTTTTTTTTTTAACAAGACTTCTCAGAACCTTTAACATACCAATACATATATTGAATCTTTTAAGAGGGGGAATATACAGTATTTTCCCAAACTAATTCAATTGCGGGATCCATTTTTCTGAGGAGCACTCATCAGATTAGTGTTTCGTGGAGCACCCTCATGGAGTGAAACGAGTTCACTCCGTGGCATCTCTCTTTCTTAGAAAACTACATTTCACTTTTTCCCAAGTTCTTGGCCTTCCAGATGGGTAGGAGTGTCCACTTTTCCTACTCTGGAATCCCAAAGACAGTCTTTTGTCTTGGTCTTCCTAGGGCAGCCTTGCAGGCGTCGCCAGTGATTTTTCTGCTAATTGTTACCGAATTCTTATTGAATTGATACCCATCATGGTTTCCCATATTGATCCTCTCTGTTTCTCTGCAGCAGATACTCACAGAATGCCCCCTTTACCTTGACCAGAAGGTCACAAAGGGCAAGTCAGCACCTGGGCTGAGGGTCATTGTTGTTGGATTGTGACAGGTAGTAGCGGTTGACTCTCTGGTTTGGGGCTGGTTTTCTAGAAGAGATGGGGAAGAAAGCTGCCGGAGTCTCCCACTTCAGGAATATATACTTTTTCAGGCTGGGCTGGAAGGAAAGGTGAGTTTGGGGACGAGGGATTGGCCACGTCTGATTCAGGCAGGAAAGGCTGGGTTGCTGTCACTTGGACTCAGATGATTTTCACACCCCATTTTCCACGCTCCGGTCCCGACACTTTGCCCTCTTTCTCCTTCATTCTCTTGGGTTCTTTCCGTCTCCCTCTTCTCCTAAGCAGACAGGCTGTCCTTCCTCCTCCCCCACCCCAGTCTCCTCTTAACACCCCCTCTGTGTGCCGCTGCCTCCCCAGCCTGGCAGCCTGCCCTTTAGGAATGTTAATTAGCATTCTCAATTTAATTAATTCAGTAGCTAATTAATGATTGGGGACTAGGGGGTGAGGAGCTGGGGTGCAGGGGAGTTGGGGGCTGGAGGTGGCAGGGAGAAATAGCGGAGGCTGCAGAAGGCATCGCAGATGGCTGTGCGGTGGCTGGCACCGTGCCCACCGCCATGGATGCAAACGCACGCACACATACACACGCACAAAAAGGAAAGGGTGATCGAGGAATAAAATCAAAAGCAGGGAGAGAAGGGCACAAGGGCCCTGGGAACTGGGGGTGGGGAAGGCTCTAGATCTATTTGAATCTGCTCCGGAAGTGGAAGAGGAGGGAAAAAAAGCCACCACAGACGCAGAGAGAGGAGCGCTCTCCCGATACCCCACCCCACCCCCACCCCACCCCAGCCACCCCTCCTCCCTGGCATGGGATTCATGGGCACCAGCTGAGGACAGGGTCCCTCCCTCAGCCTGCCATACACGTTGGCACCGAGGACCCAGAATCAGAAGGACAGGACATTCCCAAAGAAAAGAGTTTTTCTTTTAAGTTGCTCTTTAAAATATATGTACATATATTTTAAAAACATTGCACCCGTTTTGGTGTGAGGGCGAAGGCGAATGAAAGAAGGTGACCGGTGACTGAGCCAGGAAGCGAGAGCACAGATGGCTTGGTGGTGGTATGGTGTGGTGAGTTGTGGGAAGGAGGAGAGGGGGTCTGGTAGAGGTTGGGGGTGGGCGGAATGAGGACCCTGTTTTCCTCTTTTCGTTTTGCTGTGGATGAAGGAGAGAGAGAGAAAGAGAGAGAATGGGGGGTGGGGAGAGAAGTGAGACAGATGGCAGAGTGGAGAGGCGGCAGCCAGTGCCGGCACTGCCCAGCCTGGGCGGACCCAACCCCCCCGCCTGCCAGCTTTCCAAATGCCACCCTTCCCCCATCTTCCCTCTCCCCATCCCTCCAACTTGGCACTGATCTCGGAGAGAGGGAGGGAGGCTGGGCAAAGAGCATCTGTTCCCTCCATTCTCCCAGCTCCATCGGCTGCCAACCTAGGGCCATCTCTGCCTCCATCACCCCTCCGCCCGCCTGCCCGCCTGCCTACCCACCCAATCCCAAATGGGTGCTGGATCAGGTGCCGAATCTGGTTGACTTCTCGGGTATACCAGTCACTACGCATTGCTGTGTGTGTCTGCCACTGCTGCCTGGCACTCATGGGGCCGTGTGTGTGCGTGTGTGTGTGTGCACATGTACATGTACGCATAAATGTGTGCTGTATGTGAGCCTCCTGAGCTTGGGCGGGGGTTGGCACTGCGGTTGCCAACCTAGTGTCCAACCAGAAGGACAGAGGGATGGAGTTGAAGAAGGAGGGGAGAGGTTTGGGGCCTGGGAGGGCAGAAGAGGGTACACGAGTTGCTTCATGCTGCCTGCTTATAGGCATTGGCATTACAGCTGCCACCCTTGTGCCCGCGGAGATGGAAGGAGGCAAGTGGGGAAGGGGGTAGCGGCAGGAGTCCTGGTGCTCTGGGAGGAAGGCTTGGTACCTGGAAGCCATTGGCATCACATCTGGCAGGCTCGTGCCTCGAGCTGGGGCAGTGGCAACGGGCCCCTGGAGGTAGAGGGAGGGGCAGGGGTATGTTGCGGATGTTGTTGTTCCTCTAGAGCTCAGCTCTAAGAAACGAGTGGACGGTGAGGTAGTCCCCTTCCAGTCTGGGAGAGTAAAGGCGTGGAGAGGGTGGCCTGGGAAGTGCCAAGGAAACCTCTGTGAGCCAGGAGGAGGGACTGTGTCACTGCTCCCCAAGGAGAGCTCATTGGGGCTGGCAGTCCAGCCCTTTGTCAGAGCACTGAGGGAGAGGCAAGGGACCGGGTATGAGGCAGGTGGGTACTGGCACTGCCGAAGGAACCTGGCATAGGCTCTGGCAGTGTGAGGCATGGGGGAGGGTGGTGGTGCCTCTTGCCAATCTGGTTGAGAGGGTTGTGCCAGGAGTGAGAACGGAGGAGACAAGATGTTGTGTGTGTATGTGTGTGTGTACGCGTGCACTATTTGGGAGAACAGACTTTTTTCTGCCAGGAACTCCTTCCCGTTCCCTCTTAGGCATGGGAAGTGGAGCAACAGACGGAGGGAGGCATGAGAACACAAAGGAGGAAGCGCGCCATTGCCAAGACCCCAAGGAAGAAGGATGGAGAGGCTGGCAGTCCTGCCTGGCCACTGGCCAGTTTCCTGCTGAAGATGGCCAAATCCTCATGCCTGGTCTGTACATGTTGCTGTGGGGGACTGGTGGGGAGGGAAGGGCTTGCTTGCTGAACTGGGGTCTAGAATGGGAAGGGTACCTTTCTGCAGATCCCATTTGGATTCTCCACTCTAACAAGTGAGGTGTCTGATTTTCTCCCTGGGGCCTTTCTCTCCTCCCCCTTCCTCTGCTCCACTCGTTTTTCATCTCTCTGCTACCACCTGGGTCCTATTGCTTGGCACCCAACCAACTAGATGCTGCCACGCTTGGCAGAGCTGCACTGGCACGTGAACAGTGTCTCAGATCCTGGCACTGCGGCAAACCCAGAGCTGCCAAACATGCTCATGACCGCCACTTGGCGGCAGTGAGAGGGGGGCAGCACTGCCAGGTGTCGGGTGGAGCTCTGTGCTGGAGACTGGCACCAGAGGGTGCCCCATCAGCGGGGCTGAATCACTGCTCTGCAGCCCATCCCCACTCCGCCTTCCTCCCAACTGGACAGCTACCTCTCGCCAACCCTTACAGCCCCCAAGAAAGGGATTTAGATGGTGCCACACTCAGTTTAAGCAGCTGTTTCAACAGAAGCTGGAGCACAGGGAAAAGGGCATAGGTGAGAGCCACACTCAAGTCTCCAGGCCAGTGCACTGTACTCTTTGGTCATCAAGGATAGAAAAAATCCTAGGAGGGCGAAATGAGATCCTGGAGAGAGGCAAGCCAGCTATGTTGTCCCAGAGATGGTGCCAGAAGAGATTGGAAGGGAAAAAGTAGGAAGGAGAGACCTTCAGGCCCTACTATTGGGTGATGAGTTGGTTTGTTCTTGTATGTATTTCTTTCTGCCCTGTGCCTTGTAATTGGCTGACTTGTGGTTAAGATGAACCAGTTCTTTCCCCCTTTTTAAAAGGCCCCCATTCGGTAACTATCCTAGAAAGATGAAAAGGTGCTCTAGGTCTAGAGATAGGCAGATTTTAGAAAGACAAAGGCACCTTGGACTTGTCCTTCCAGAAATTTCTATTCAAGGAGATTTTTTGTTTAGGAATTTCTCAATGGAACTCCAGTTAGAGTTAGATAAATGTCCATGTCTTGAAATCCACCCCAGACGGCAGACCGTGGATCAGCAGTGAGCCCTCGTAAAGAGGCAGTCCTCCAGGAGCAGAATCCCAGCATCTGTGTTGACACAGATCAGACCTGTGCCTCCAGAGGCCGTGCTATCAGCAGTCCCACAAAACTGGACCTCGAGCCTCCACCTGGAAGAACTTCTAGTAGATTTGGCTTTCCTTGCTTCCTGGGTAGCTAAAGACTGAAGGCAGTGACTAGGAAGCTCTTCGGGTAGACTTGGCTCTGGGTGATGGGGGAGGCTGGGCAGCTCTCCTAGGGGACAGGACCTGCCCAGAGGGAAGTAAAGCCATTGCCCATGCTGGGCTGAGCCACTTGGAGCTGGGAAGTTCTGATTTCAGCATCTCAGGACTTGGAATGAAGCTTCAGAAGAAGCAAGGTGGAAAAAAAAAGGAAAAGAAGGAGCAAGATGGTTTCCACAGCAGAGGAGAAAGCAGTGTGCTCAGCCAGCCAAGGGGGTGAGTGGACAATGGTTATAACATTTCTCCAATGCAAGGACAGCTGACATAAGCAGAAGGCACAGTCAGATTTCCAAAATATTGGAGGTGGCGGGGGATGTCGGGGTAATGGAGACAATCTGAGGTGGTGCTAGGCCCCTGTGTGACAGCCTCTGGTGTGGCAGGGCTGGGCCCTGGGCTGGAGACTTGGGGGCACATTGAAGATGTAAATGGGGCTGAGTAAACACTAAATTGGTGTTCTCA